TGTGGAGAGGGTCTCTGACTTCAGGTTCCTGGGCATCCAGATCAAGGAGGACCTGTCGTGGAGTGCGAACACCTCAGTGACCATCAAAAAGGCACAGCAGAGACTTTACTTTCTGAGACTCCTCAGAAAGAACCACCTGTCACAAAAACTGCTTGTGTCTTTCTATCGCTGCTCAATAGAGAGTGTGTTGACATACTGCATGTGTGTGTGGTATGCCAGCTGCACAGCGGCAGAGAGAAAAGCACTTCAGAGGGTCATAAACACTGCCATGAAGATCACTGGTTGCTCTCTCCCCTCCCTAGATGAACTGTACAGTGCGAGGTGCCTCAAAAAGGCTCAAAACATCATAAGGGACCCATCACACCCCGGACATGAACTCTTTGAACTGCTACCCTCGGGCAGGAGATACAAGACGATAAAATGCCGGACAAACAGGTTCAAGAACAGTTTTTACCCAAGAGCAATAGTGTCGCTGAACACAATCAAGGCATAAAAAGAGTGGCTGTGCAATAATCTCATGACTATGTGTCTGTGAGCTGTGTCTGTGCATGTGAGCTGTGTGCTTGGTATTTATGCGTTTTTTATTTATTTTTATCTTAGTACCAATGTTCTTATGTTTTTATGTTTTATCTATAAATTTGCACAGGTTTGCTCTGCAATTTCGTTGTACAATGTACAATGACAATAAAGATCTATTCTATTCTATTCTATTCTATTCTAGAAACCGTGGGCTATTGCCTGTCATTCTGCCTCTGTTGAAGGTGTCTGATGGAAAAGAAGAAATAGTGTACAATTACTTTCTGTTGCTGCAGTAAATACTGTTTGTATATGATCTCACATGGTTTTAAACAGCAGAAATTAAAACTAGGCCTAGTTAAGTGTGCAGATGTCTAAGACATACCTTTAAATATTAACTACTGTTGAATAACCTTCAAGAAGTCATTCTTCATGGTATCGTACAAAGCCGCACGTTTCCATGACAATAGCGGAGATTGTGCTGGTCCCAATCCTATACTGGAAGCAGAGGGACCGGAATGTTTCTCCCGGATCAAAAAACAAATGAAAAGGACTATTGCACATACAGCAACAGAGGCCATTGCTTTATTTTTACTTCCAAGCAATTTAAATAACCCACCTGTAGCCAGATAGCGCAGGGTCAAGGACAGACGTTCTCTAGGGAATATGGCAAGCCTAAATCTAGTGTCTTACCTTGCGATGTACAGCTCTACCAGCCCCAGCAAGAAATCAAAGTCCTCCATTGTCATCTCTAGCATTTCCCGAAAACCTGTTTGATCATTCAGCTATGAAAGGTACAATAATCTGGGTCAGAATACATGCATAGACTATATGGACAGTACAATGCAAGCTAATAGGCTAGTGGCACAGTAGCAACCGAGTTTCATTCATAGAACTCACCTCCAACTCTCTCTGCAGAGTTGACAACCCCCGTGCAAATGACCTGCAGAGCTCCAAGCTGTTGGACATCCATGTTGTCAAGTAAAGTGTAGCACCGGGGAACTTCATAATATCCTGTTTTGTTCACGCATGACAAAACCTAGTTTGGTGACGTCACCGCGTTATCTGGGGCTCTGTCGGCGAGGGTTCGGTGGAGAAATCTTGTGGTGTGCACACACAGGTCGTAATGCAGTTGGCGAGACTCCCAATGACAACACACGTCGCCAGGTATGAACACTCAAAAGATTACGTTAGTCTCCGCGAGTCAAGATTGGTCGGCCAGTTGTGTAATGTGAACTCGCCTTTAGACCCACTTGGCCAACTATTCTACATTGGTGTGGGGTGTCTGGGTCCAGTAATGTGAAAGCTATTGAAGAAAATACACTTTTCCAATAGAAAACCAATGGAGTTTGTTTAAAAATTTGTATAAAATAGAAAGAGCATGAAACCCATTTATAAAGAGGTGTGCCTTATGAGGCCCACTTGGCCAATCCATTCTACATTGGTGTGGGGTGTCTGGGTCCAGCAATGTGAAAGCTATTGGTATAAGCCCTTCTCTATGTTGCCCATTGTTTTCTGCCAGTGAGAGGGAGGTGGAAATTGCTGTTGAACCCAAAATGAATATCTGAATATCCATCGAATATCCAACGTCAAACTAACTTCACCACACCACGCTACTGTCCAACACTGATTATTTTTGACTGTGCATGAGAAATAGCTGCATAGCGTCAGTGTGTGTAAAATCAGTCATTTGCATCAGTGTGAGAGTAGACAGCTCTGACTTTCAAAAAAGGAAACAAATTTGTTGCTCATTTCTCTCATTTCAGGGACTCTTCTTATTTTTTCTTTTATTGTCCTTAAATAAAGCTACAGTAATTTAACAGGTAGTATTTCTTATCCGATTACTCGATTAATAGCCTAGGCCGGTTCTACGCAGGGGCAAGAGGGGGCAATGCCCCCTTAAACAAATATCTTGCCCCCTCAAATCAAATCTGCCGAAAAAGGCACAAAACTGAAAAGTTTTCTCATCTGTCTCCACTCCACGCTGTGTGCCGGCTGTGTGTGATCTAATGTTACTGTCTGCAGTCGGCAGAGACCCTCTCCCCAGTAAACACCCAATCACTGTTTAGTATGCAAATGAGCCAAGATGCATCGGCGTCAGGTTTCTCAGTCTCAGTGAGGCAGAATGCAGCAGTAATGTGAAGCTCCGTTAAACTCGTCGTAGCGTATCGTGTCGTGAGATACTTAATATATAGTTAACAACAAAAAACAAGTAAATATAGCTGTGTGAGCATAGAGTGTGAGCCTGTCAGTGCGAACGTTTCTTCAATCACACAAGCACAGCGAGAGATGAGTGCCTGCTGCATGTCACATACTGAGGACAAATGCCCTGTGTGTGCCAGACCCATACATAAAGCCCCGCCCAGCCTCTAGTTCTGCACAGCGATTTTTACAAAGCTTTTATTATCGTTTCACTCCTGCATCTTTCAGCAGCTCAAAGGAGAGTGGAGTGAAGGGAAAAAAAATGACAAAAAAACAAAACAAAACAAAAAAATATAAAATGTTCTGCTCTGGCCTATATCTGTTGTGTTTGTTAGTTCTGTTAGTTTGAGAAGTTTTTTTTATAAGACTAGCTTTGGTAAATATTGGCTATAGTGAGATTATTGTGATTATTATGTTCAAATTTATTTCATATGTCTAGATGCCTAATGGCCATCCAATAAGATAAATGTTAAAATGTTGGTTGTGCCTGGATGAAGGATATTTTTATTGTATTTTTTCTTAATTTTTATTTTATTTTTTGCCACCTTATCGTGGTCAGGGGGTTTGTGTGCCTCAGTGACCCTAAGAGCTATACCAGCAGGAGCTTAGTCTTCAGGTGGGACACCCAAGTTGGACAGGTCTTAGGGTAGAGGTCTGACAAAGTGCAATCCATTTCTTTAGGTTGGGGGTTGGACACACAGCTAACAACAACCCAATTCCATGTAGAAAACACTGTTATCAACAACAAAACAAGCGGCAAGCACATTTGAGACCACAGTGCTTTAACACCCTCTATAAGGCACTCACACAGCATCCCCACATCCTGCAAGTGAGTGAGTGAGTGAGTGAGTGACCTTTATTTGTCAGCTCTACCTATGGCAAAAATGTGCTGGAACATGATACCCCCTTCACATTTATGACTGCCCCCTCATATATGCCTGCCTAGAACCGGGCTTGTTAATAGCCAGAATAATCGATGGAATACTCAATTACTAAAAGAATCGATAGCTGGAACCCGGAGTGCTTTCTAGGAAAAAAATTAAGTCAAAAAAGTGTCAAAGCGATGTTTTGAGTAACTTTTTAGACTTACAGAACATTTGTGTACATTAGTCCACCTTCTTTGTCTCTATCTCTGTCACTTTCTTTCTTTACCAAGCAAACACACACACACACACCTAGGAAAGCACTGTTTTGTGCTCTCATTGGCTGTAGCTCACCACAGGTTTTTTTTATGTCCAGATATTAATCATCTATCTGGATCCCATATTAAGAATTTTTCGATCACTTTAGCTTGTCATCACACAACCCTTTCCTTTGGCACTATATTTTCACAGTTGTAGAGCTTCTGTATTCCTTTGCAAAAGCTCAACTGTGCAGTGCACTGTATCACGCTGTAGGTCAGCTCTTTGGGTCAGAAAATGCTGTTGCATCAAGAAACTCCACTTTTCTAAAGATTTCAAATTATTTTCTGCCTGTTCAAACAAGGAAATGAAAACAACTGTGACTAGTTACTCTTTTAAAATAGACATCAACATTCCACCTGCAACACTGAGACAACTCAGCGATTGGAGTGAGCATTTCTCTCAAGAGGATTTTGTAAAACCATTGACAAATAAACGGGAGAGACACTTGCTGAAGAGTGCTGCACACATCAAGTAAAATTATGCTAAATACCTACAAGTAAATGAACCCACTTACCAAACAACCAGTAAAGTGTGAAGCAATGACATCTGATTCAGAAAGATCCTGAGGCTGTGTTGTAACCAAGTCCCACTTACCCTTCATTTCCACTTACAAAGGCTATGTGTATGGAGACGAGTCAACTGGAAGTCCATTCATTCCTATGGGAATCTCTGTGATATCCAGTGTGCCTGAGAAACTCCTCCCCTCCTTTATATTTTGGTCTGGAATTTGCCTCGAGTACTTTAAAAAAATTACCTTTTGCAGTGGATTTCGAACAGACCATATCACAGTGTGCTAGCTTAGCTAACAGGATGCTAACTAGCTAACAGGTTATATCCCTCAATTCAGTTGCCTGTGTTGATTGCCATGTGAGTTTGTGTGATTAAAAAGAACCTCTTTATCTAGGTTTACCACATTGTGAATCAGAGAAATGTGATTCTGCTAAAATATGGTTATACATTACACAGTCAGATTGTCATTTCAGTCAGATTAATCATTTTAATATGAAACAGCCTAATGTTACAGTTAGATTTATTCTGATATTAAATACAGTCATCATCTTTATCAGTTTGATTTGAAAGTGCAGGCATATGACACGTTCATATGTCTTTTTAATTAAATATTTCACAAAACATGCTACATACCTGGCAGGTCAACATCTTCACTTAATTGTTGCTATGCAATATTGGTCCTGTTTTTGTCCCTGTAATGTTCCAAGCCCATATTCTAAACTACTAGATGGCAAATACAAAATTAGACTCTCACATGTATATATATCTCTAAATAAATGCAAGTTTATAGGCAGAATAAATCCTTCAATGAACAACCCCACTAAATCAAACAAAAATATTTTACACAAAATGCGTTTATTGTGGCTTCTCTCAAAACAAGTTGAGTAATTATACCTCTGAATATAGGACAACTTAAATATGTTGTTTGTATGCTACGTTCACACTGAAGATTCAACGGCGAACAAAACACTGTCTGGTTACAACTGGTAATGTGTTTTATTCTGTTGAAAAGTTGAAGTAAATAAAGGTGTCCGGCATGTCTCTTGTTTTAAGTGAACTTTTGCAAAGTAGTTACTTACTTGAGCTCAGTGTCCTCTACTCTGACACACTCACTGATCCACAGTCAGTACTGCCTAGTGCTGCTGTATGCCGTGTATGCAGACACGGACCAAACCATTGTGAGGCAGATGAGGGGGGAGGATGCAATCCTTTTAAAGTTATAAATGCATCACATTGCATATGTAATTGGCACAAGCACAAGTTTTTTATTATTATATAGTTTAAAATTGTATAGATTCCTCAAAGGATATATTGGGGGGGATAATTCCCTGTTTTTCCAAAGAAGGGGATCCAGACCCCCCGCCCCCTCCAGGATTTCCGCCTATGATTGTATGTTGCAATATAGCCTATGAATGTGATTGCTGAAGCTAGCTAAATGACGAGGTTATGCACATAAGATCAAAGACAAGACTAGACAATAGCTAATTAATATGCACATGCCACAAACAGCACAGGGGTGTTAATTACTAAAGGTTACGGTAGATTGTGCTTAGTGTTTTAATCTGTCAAAATGATGGATGGCTTTCAGATTTTTCAATGATTGTTATAAAATGTAGTCAAATGACCTCCAATTTAAGGATCAATCTTCGTAGAAGCAACAAAGACCCTTGATCCCTCATCTGTACCCTTTGACCCCCAACCCCAACAACAGAACATAGTAGCTGTAGCGATACTTCTATAATGAGCTTGTGTCTGTGCTATGTTTAGGTGTTGTATTCCACTTGTTCATGCCATGCCCTCACCCCTCCCTAAACTTTCCCCATTCTCAGCCCTCTGTACTGTTGTTCCATTGGCTGCTGCTC